CAAAACCAAATGTCTTTCTTTTTTTTCTATACTATCGGTAGTTTGAGCTTGTCTTCTGTCAAGAGGTTTGCAGAAAAACTTTGTCAAAACTCTTATTAAATGAGTCCCTGCGCAGGCACTCGTTCACCTCCAGGTCCAATTCTTCATGGGTCAGGCGATCCAGCAACTCCACATGAGACCTTAATAAAACATTCCAGGAAAGCTCCAAGCACACAGGCATTAAAGGCTGTTAACAGCATCAGAATTAAAAAGAAATTAACAGGAAATCTCAAGTTGCCTTAAGAATTGTTCCTGTCTGGTGTCATATCTCATAAATCTCAAATTACCTTTGAAATCTTAGTATTTCAGAATAGCTGCAACGTCAACAAACCAGTACAAAGTAATTTAAAGCCTACAAAATTTGCTTCCTTAGCACTAAAATCGGAGGATGTCTTTGACAGCCTGCATGGCACTAACACTTTTAAAACCTTTATTTACTTCAGAGGAAAGGAACAACGCAAGAGAAGATGGTTCAGTAGCTGCAGTTGTATTTGTAGTGAATATTTCTCTAGCATGATTGTTGCTTTCTGCTGAACTGGAAACAAATTAACACTTTTTAATGAAAGCATCCTTCCTGCCACAGGAAGGTTTAGGTAGTTCCTGCATCCTCGTTTAGCCAGGTGTTTCTTATAACATCTAGGTAATGAATGAATATTTCTTCTGAAAGGGTATAGGTTGAACTTCCCAGCAGTTTAGAAAAGGTTATGCTTAAATATTTAAAATATTCCTTGTTATGTTAATACATTTTTTTTAATAAAGCTGAGCCAGAGGACCTATATAAGATTCCTTCACAGAGAACTCGAAATTTGCTTCAATATCAATTGTGAACCTATAGATATATGCTGATGAAAGTATAAGTGTCTATTGTACGCTGACCAATTTAAAAGACAATGACAGAATTTGATATTGCAGGAAAACAGAATTTAAATTCAGCATGTCAAGATGTGGTTTCATTAAAAGCCTGATGCTATCAGGTATTTCAACAAAAGCTCACACCCTATGGAAAAGTAATTATGTGATGATCTCAACTTTTATTTAAAAACAATGCAGTCATCTACTCCCCTCACTCAGCTGCAGAGAAAAGCTTGAAAATGTTTCCCAAGTGTATTCTAGAGATTCAAAACCTGCAGGCAAATAAAAGACCCTGTAGATAATAGACTTTAAAATTCTAGGTCTTTGTGAACTCATCTTACAGTTTTTTTCCAGGGCTGACAACTCTGCCTCTTTAAAAAAAAAAAAAATCTATTAATTTATATTGTCAAAAAAAGTCAGAAAACATAGCTTGTCATTTTTGTCAGCTTACAAGTTTTTTATCATTGCTAATAGTGCAGTTTCTCTCATTATACTAGACTACGAAGTTTGTCAGGAAGTTTCCTGCCATTTTTTCCCCCTGCACATTAAGGTTTTTGTTTAATCCATGAACCAATTATCAACTACACTGTATCATGTAAATCCTACTGATTCGGATTTTTTTCATCTGCTAAATTTCATGGATTCATAGAATGGCTTGGGTTGTAAGACCTTAAAGTCCATCTACCTTAAAGACCATCTAAAGACTCCCCAAGCCCCTGCCACAGGCAAGGACGCCTCCCACTAGACCAGGTTGCTCAAAGCCTCATCCAGCCTGGCCTTGGACACTTTCAGGGATGAGGCATCCACAACTTCTCTGGGCAACCTCTTCCAGTGTCTCATCACCCTCATAGAAAATAATTTCTTCCTAATACCTAATCTACATCTATTCTCTTTCAGTTTGAAGCCACTACCTTTTGTCCAATCCCTACACTCCCTGATAAAGAGTCCCTCCCCTTCTTACCTGTAGGCCCCCTTCAGATATGGAAAGGCTACTCTAAGGTCTACTCTAAGGTCTCCCCGAAGCCTTCTCTTCTCCAGGCTGAACAACTTGCATGAAATTAATTTCTGCCTTCTGCCAGGCTGTGTCAAGGCGAATCAGTGTTTCACAGGCCCAGCTGCCTAAAAGCGGCACAAAGGAATCGATGCATCCTCACGGCACAGGGCAGGGCAGGGCAGCAGGCGACCTGGAGAAAAAGGAACTGAAAAGTGCACGAACAAAACCGGTGCAGGACACCAACGGATAAGGGACTGCTTTTGTTCAGAAATTCAGTTCCTGAGATGTCCAGATGAGGCCACTGTGGTTTTACTATCCCGATTTCCCGAAAGAAATTTAATTTGGTTACCTCAGAGTTTCCCGGTCTCCACAACTGCAAGCCTGCTCAGTAGCCTATTTTTCTGTTGGAGAACAAAGAGAAGGAAATGCTGTTTTGTTTTTTTTTTCCTTTGTGCAGGGGTTATGATACTCGCAGAGGCAGGAAGGGAACCGGACAATGGAAGCTGCAGATGTGGAATTTCTCTTTTAAATCCCCTTTGCTGCTGGCTGACACTCAGTGGAGATCCAGCAGTGCACCAGCAGCAGATGCTGCGAGACTGAGGCAGAGCAAGCATATTTGTTTGATGGATAGCCCTGGGTGAAGCTTTCCAACAACAGCCCGACCCAGCCTGCACTGGGCGATCTCGCAGGCTTTGGTTTCAACTCAGAAGCATGATGCAAAACCAGGGAGGGGTACGGAGCGCTTTGGCTGAGTCACGCTCTTAGGAAATGGGGATTTCTGCGGCAAGAGGCTGGAATGGGCCCTGCCAAGTCCCCAGGCAGTGAACTCTGATGCGTTTTGGAGACAGGGACGACATTCTCATCCAAAAATATCTGGCCAGCCAGGGGACAGACTGTGGCCACAGGGTGACCTTGCCTCCTCTGTGGTTTGTTTTTGTTTGTTAATAAAAGTGACCTCCAGTAGGAAGAGCTCTGAAGTGGCCGTGGGGACATGTGTGAGCCCAGCCACAGGGAGGGCCACTGGGCTGAGCTGCAGCAGGTTCTTCACTTTAGTAGCATGATTAAAAGAAGGGAAATGCCTAACCTTGTAAACACTCTCTAAAGGGCTTTTTATTTCCCTTCATGGTTGCCACTGCAGAAGGAAATGGCTTGTTCAAATCTATTTAAGCTGTCTGATAATAGAAACATTTTTAAGAGTAGCTGGACAGATGATCCAGAGTCAGGACTCAGGAGAGCCTCTCCTTGCTTGGGCTGAAGGGCTACATTTTACCCTTAATTGTTCCTGTCACACAAGGCCAAATTTGGCCCAGGCTTGGTCTGCTACTGGGTTTCCTCTCTCCAACTACACCGCTCCTCTGCAACAGTGGCACGGTTATCTCTGCCACCCTGGGCAACACGTTCGGATGATGGTTAACAAGAACATTAAGTTAGAGCTTGTGGCTGTTTGCTTGCAAACAGACAAATGTTGGCAGAAAGTGCTTGCGAGGGAGGGATCTGCAGCTCTCAGTCAAGCTGCCAGCCTGCTCTAACCAAACAGCTACAACTGGCCTCAGCCCTTTTCAGGCTCATCCAGGCGCTTCGGGGAATGCAATATTTCAACCTCAGGACCAGTTGTTTTCATGCCACAAAGCCCTGTTAGAGGCACAAGTTTTAATTGCTCGGCTCACTCAACTTGCTCTTCTCACTGTGGTCCTGGCTTTTCTCCTGGTGTAGGACACCACTCACAAGGCACTAACATAGGGATGCCCCCTCTCTCCCCTCTCCTCCCAAGCAGGTACACCTCTGTGAGTCACTCAAAACCAAAAAGAAACTGAGTGGTGCTTGTCCATGCATAGCCCTTTATCATCTGAGATAATTCAGGATTTCAAGGTGAGACTCTCTGAAATAAGGTGGTGGGAAGAGTACATCTATCACCAAATCTCTAAGGCAGCAGCAAAGCAACTCTATCATCACAGATCCACTGGAGAAGAAAAGCCCTGAAATTCGTGTATCACTGCAATTTTCACCTAGTTTAAATGATGTCTGAAGTTTTTGCTTATCATCTTTAGGGTCCCTTTGAGTTTAAACTCACTGCATATTCCTGCAGCAATACAATTTCCTTTCATCAGCAGAGCCAGCTTCAGCTGTTGTCGAGTATTATTATACCTCACTGCTTCCTTCCTCTCCCATTAGTCCCTCTACCCCAGAATTAAATATTATTTGTAGTTCCAGCCATTTGACAGCAAGTCCTGTTGTATCCCAGAACAGCCCAGAAAGACAGGAAAAGGGACATCAAGTGGCTACATTTTCTGCAGCACGAAAGATCCAGAGCCCAAAAATCTCATTGATAGATGTGAAAGTAGCATGGGACATTTAGAACAGAGTAATTTGGGCAGAACGGTGCAGTGTGACAGCTCACACTTGGCAACGTGGGTAGCAAGCAAACATCCAAGTGGGTGCAGATACCACTGGAAAATGTCACTGCTGCAGCGAAGGTGGTACCCTTTCTGAAAAAAAAAAAAAAAGAGGCTTAGCATCAGCACGAAGGGGATATAAAATCTAACATTTTTATGAACATTAACCTTCTATTTAAAAATAAAACCACAAAACAAACAAAAAAACCCCAACAAACAGAAACATAAAACAAGGGCTCACATGAAAAGGCTTTCTCAGCATTTTTGCAACATGCAATGTTGTCTGGTGGACTGGTAACTACTTCAGTGAAATTAGGAATGTCAACATAAAAATGGTTGTGAAAATGTCCTTTAAATCTGAATTGAAATGCTGACTTCCTTCTTTGCTTGTTTTCTTCTACAGCTTGCTTGTTTGCTTTTTGAAGTCACTCTTGTTAATTGTCCTGCAGCCATGGTATGTACCAGATAGCCAAGAAAGCTGACATGGTGAAGTTATATACAGCATCCTTGTGACCTTTTTGCAGCGAAGATACATATCTGTCCAATAAAGCCCCAGCCAAATGACAGCGACAGCTGCCTTGTGGCATTCAGTTTGAATTGAACAGGTTTGCTCACAAGTCAGGAGCAAGTATTTCATTACAGACTGTGCACCAAGACCAACACAAGCCCCCAAAAGTGAGACTTTCCTTCAGCAGCTATGGAAACTTCCCTGGCGGACTGAGATGCACTTTACAAGCTCCTCCTTGTCTCCTTGCTTTGACTTTCCTGCCTTCTGCAAGCTGTCATCTGTTGGCATTTGCATGTTGGTGTAGGACTTGCAAGGAAAGAAAACCTCACTTCATCTCTCAGTAGAGATCCAGGGTGTTATGGGAACTGAGCACTCAAAGAACAAAGGGCGAAGGAGCGTGGTTTTTCTGAGGAAAAGTCCAAAGCTGCCTGCGTGGGAAGATGCTCTTCTCTCAGGGGAAGAGCCCAAGTCACTGCTGAAACGGGGATTGTGCTATGTCACCTTGAGCCTCATAATGAAAGGGATGACCAGCACGCCTGACTTCTTGTGGGGATTGCCCGAGGTGCAGAAACTGAACCTCTCACGCAACCAGCTGGTGGTGATTCCTCCTTCGCTGGGGAAACTGGACAGGTTGGTAGTGCTGAACTTGGGGGGCAACTGCCTCAAGTGTTTGCCTAAAGAGATTGGGCTGCTGAGGAACCTGAAGGTCTTGTTCGTCAATATGAATTGCCTGACAGAAGTGCCAGCAGAGCTCAGCTTGTGCCGGAAGCTGGAGGTTTTGAGCCTTTCGCACAACGGCATCTCGCAACTGCCTTTGAGCTTCACTGACCTGACAAGTTTGAAGAAACTGAACCTCAGTAACAACTGCTTTGTGCAAATTCCCCTCTGCATTTATGCACTGAGGAGCTTAGACTTCTTGCACCTAGGGTCGAACAGGCTTGAAAACATCGCAGAGAGTGTCCAGTATCTGGTCAACCTGCAAATCTTTATCGTGGAGAATAACAGCATACGCACCCTGCCACGATCTCTCTGCTTCATCACCACTCTGGAGTTACTAAACATCGATTACAACGCCATCCAGACTCTCCCAGATGACCTTTACCTGCTGCGCCGGCTGCCACGCATCGCCTGGAACCCAATGGACAAAGGCCTCCACATCGCTCACAACCCCTTGTCCCGGCCCCTGCCTGAGGTCATCGAGGGGGGGCTGGATGTCCTCTTCAACTACCTCAGGGAAAAAAAGGAGCACAACTGAGCTTCCGCTGATCTTGGGATTAAGCCTGTCATCAAGATAGTCGTATCAGGGTGCTTTCCTGCACAGACATTTCCATCTCATAGTGCTCAGATTTCGAAGACTGTGGATGGCTTTAGTAACAGTTGGAGGAAAGCAAGTAAAGTATGATGGTCTTGATTAAGTGTGTGAAGAGTAAACTTTCTGAAAATAGCCACCTCTCTAACCTTCAGTGTTGGTGTACTTGGGGTATTTTAGGAAAAAAAACTCCCAAAAAGCTTGTTTGCTCTTCATTTAACAGAAAAAAATTAAGGCAGACTGCTAGATGTGCAGAAATGTAAGTTTGCCGGCTATTGGGTTAGAGGAATATTCATATAAATTGGATTTACTCTATGTGATTGCAGCTGCACTTTAACTCCTGCTCCCTTCTTTATGCACAGATAAACAACTACATAAACAAACATTGCTATTTAAGTGAATGCCAAGGAAAATGTTAAATTTGCTTTTGGCAATGAGTGTATCTTGAGCTATATTAGCTCACAGACAGTATATTACTGGCCAGTTCAATACCATTTGCTGTTTACCCCGCAGCTGTGCACTAGCCTCTGTAAATTACAGGTGAAGATTGCCGCCAATGAGATGGTTTCCCAGTTCTTTGGAAGAAGACCCCAAACTTCCCCAAAGTCCCTAGCTCCTGAGACACACAGCCTTTTCCCACAAAGCCTCCTAGGATGCCAACAGTGACGCATCAGCTGGGAGCAGCACCCACATGCAGCAGAGAAAGGAACGGGAGCCCTCATTCCCTGAAATGAAGGCTTTCAGATGAAGTTTCTCGTTATGACATGAACAATTGCACGCCGTTCCCTTTCCAACATCTCTGCAATTGGAGCCATGAGGTAATTTTACTCAGGAGGCAGTAGGTCTCCTAAGGGAGAAATATTTCTTTCAGAAAAAGCAGCATCAAACCAATCATTGGCTTAAGTAAGAGCTTCAAAAACAAATACTTATTTCTGTGGTTTTCAGTATCAGCCAGTAGCATAAAAGTCAGGTCTTATGTGGTTTCTCATATTGATCTTCTGTGAATGTCCTTCATCAAAGTTTTCTCTGGTAATAAAGAGGCAGTATGAAAGAGCTGTTAACAATTTATGCAACCTGTTTTTTTTTGTTTCCTCACACCGATGAAAAACAGAAGCAACTCTGTTGAAAACAGTTGAGATAAATGCTTGTAATGGCAATGTAAAAGAGGAATTAAGAGCATCCAAATAAGAGTATCTAAAGCCACTTTTAAAGTGCTTTCTATGCTATGTCAAATCTCAAGAATCAATGATTACTTCATAAGACATAATCTGCTCAAAATTATGGAAGGCTGTGGAAGGCTGATAGTGCTTCTAGTGAAGTTAATGGACAATCCTTGGCTGAGGGAAAACCTCTTCAACAGACGTAGAGGCAGCCTGATAGCAACAGACAATTCTGTAATTCATAGGTACATGCAAGAAAATGCAGCACCTTTGGCCACACTAATATCAGTGCAGTATTGACCGTAGCAATGAAGAATCGGTGTTCACAGAATATTCCCCTCCGGCGCTACTTACCCTGATATTTTATTAGGCTAGATTGCTCTGTGTACTGTTTCTTATCTTAATAGAGAATTTCAGTGTTACGCCCAGGAATTGTAATTTTCAAGAATGCAGTCAAGGACAAATCTTATGTTTCTAGCAAACAAGAAACCTTTTAGAAGGGCACATGTGCTCAAGCATTAAGCAAACAAATAGACAAAGCAAGTAAACAAACAACAAACTGCAATTGTTCTGTGACTTTTTTACTTAATATATGCTTCAAATGCAAAGATAAGTTATATTAAGCTTTATATGTATTTATTTCACCCATAAAGTGAGATTTATAGCAAAGTTCCAAGTTTTTTAGTGAACAATAAATTAATATGTGAATCAATTAGTGACAAGAAATAAAGCTGCAAATGTTTATAGACAGATAATTCTTGGAGGGGATTAGGCACAGATTATTAACTTTTTTAAATGTCCATTTCATATCCCTATGTTTGGCATTCACGTAAACACTGCAATCCCTCAATAGTGCCCTACAGGAAAATTAGATGCTTATGGCGTTTATCACCTGAAAAGATTTTCCACATATCAGTATCCAGGATTATATGACACCAGATAGCCTCCGATATGATCTGACTAGAAGAGATCTGCACAGTAGTTTACACGGAATATGTGAGACTGGACTGTGTGTGCTCATTAGGAGACTGCTACCACGCATGGGAAATACTGCATGATTCAAGAAAGTGGTCTCCAGACAGGGAATTGGAAGGCAAATTTGACATAATTAAGTGAGTCTGAAAAAGCAGTTATAATATGAAGTGCAATACCAATAATTTAAAATTCAATTATTCAGTTGAATAGTAATAACCTTTTATTCAAGCTAATAAACCTTTGCAATCATATGAAACACATAGAAGTCTCTATCTTTTAAAACAGAATAATAACATTTATTGAATAAATGGTACTTTAATGTATAATTCAGATTTTACCATTAAGAAGATAATTTGTACTGAACTGCTTTAGTCTTTCTTTTATTCTTCAGTCAAGACCCTTATAAATAGCTTTCTCAGAGATCTCACATGACTAATGATAGTGTTCTGATTTTTTTTTGTAAAAAGATAAGACTCTATATCACTGTTAATGTATAGAAAATATGCATGAGAGGCAAATATAGAAAGACATACAGTCAGACAGACAGATAGATAGATAGACAGATAGACATGTATTTACATATGAGAAAAGCAATGTAGAGAAGGCAAGCAAGAGGAGCAGGAAGGAGATAGAAAGGATGATGTCACACTGGCCATAGTTCTGAGTAGGGCATTAGCAAAGAATTGGTGGATCTCAGTGTTGTCATCATATATTGGCTGTGCAGATGACAGGGAAAAAAGGAGCTGAAACATTGCAGGGACTGAAGTTATATCTCATAATATATGATGACAGCACCACTTTTACGCATATATGAAATAACATGATTTTGACTTATAATCTTTAAGAGAACTATATGCAGATTCTCACACTTGTTTCTAGTACTCAGAAGATTTCTCCTCCTAAGCCTCAAAAAAGCATAACTTTTGATGCATCTATTATTTTTGTTGTTATTGGTCATGATGTTCTTCAAAGGAATGGAAAAAGTGGGATCCACTCATGAAAAAGGATACTCTCTTGGCAGGATGAGTTTTCTACAGCTGTCACTCAGAGAAGCTCTCAGAGAGGTTAGAAAAATTCTTGATGTTGATGAAACAAAGGGTAAAGCAGGAAAATGAAGTGGAAAGAACATAGTCAGGGGCCAAACAGTTGGGATAAATGTAATATACAACAGAGCTCCACAATTTGTTCCCAAGCTATCTTCAATACACCGGTGGTACCTTTGATGAGGTGAACAGATTCCATCTATTTTAATTTTAAGTCAAAAAGAAAGCTGCATTCTGTGGAAAGTTTAAATTCTAGTCAACAAGCAAAGCCTTTGAAAAGTGGAAAGCTTTGGGCTCTTGGCCTAACTGAAGTTAGTGACTTCAACCTTTGATTGAGAAGAATACATATTAATCCTACGTGTCGCTGTAACACGTAGGCTGAGATATGTTGCACCTACTGCTCTGGGGCTACTGGCCAAACTTGCTACATGGGCAAACTTCCTTAAGCCTTTTATGACTAGTGACTTCCCCAAAACCACTATGATGTCCCAGCAGGACATCTTCAGAATCTGAGAAAATCTTGGAAATTGCTCTTTGTACGTTCTTGCTGCATATAATTTCCACAGGTAGAAAAATGATGATACTTCACTGGTACTTATGCTTAAGCAAAGAAAGAAAAAAGCCTCGAAAGTCTTCGCCACATGAGAAATACATAAAAGTAAATAATGAAACATAAAGAAAGCAAATAAAATTAACTAAACACATGGTCAGTATGATTTCACAAAATTCCAAGGGTAAATTTGCTGCACAATTTTCAGACAGCAATTCTTGAGTGGTTTAAGGACTGTTTTGGACTGCCTTGAACAGTTCTATTATGTATAATTAATACACATGAAAATAATTATATAAAAATAACAATACATAATAATTTCTAAAATATTAAGAAAAATATGCATATTACTGTGTCACATGCTTCTGCAGGCCACACATATAGGAGATGAAATCCTGAAATACTTGCAGCCAAAAGAGAACTTTCACTGACTGTAGAAGGGCCTGAACTTATATGAGAATATATACATTTACCTTTCTATATATGGCAAAACCAAGATTTAAAAATTCAGTCGATGTTTAAATGGGCATGAGAGTTTAGATATGTTGAGACAGAGCTACACTGTAATACTCACGTGTGGAGTAAGTTTGAAAATCCTTTCATAAAATTTCATAATCCTTTCTCTGCACAGGTAGAATGCAGAATAATAATTAGGAAAAAAATGAAAAAAAGGCACTGAAACAGCTTTCCTTAGAAATATATTAGTTATCTGAACACCGTGAAAGTTCCAAGAGGAAAATAAATTCATATAAAAAATTTTTTAAAGGTAGGAATTACATAAGAAATTTTTTTGTCCCTCCCAACAGTCCAGAGCAAAACAGACTGCTGACATCAGTACTTTTAAATTCTTCCTTCATTCCCTGCCCCAAACGATTTTGTGAATTTGTCTGTGATTCAACGAGGGCCAAACCACCCCTCAGCATTGTCCTCTGCAGCCCAGAGGTCCTGACAGAGTCCTGCGCTGGTACCCCAGCCTACCGCACCGGATTAATGTGAAGGGTTTAACGACAAAGCCTGGAATTTATACTCGGATATATGTGGAGTCATGTCATGCGTGGCTAAAAAGGTGGTTTCCAGTGAAGCAGGAAGTGTAGCAACAGCTTCAGAAAAGGTCACTGCGAATTATGCTGCCTCATAAAGTGAGCTTACCCAGGCAGATTGAAAAGAAGACCAAAGGTCAGAGCTTTATGCTTTCCTAGGGCTCATAGGAATTTCACA